CAACGTCCACATTAGTTTAAGAGACTCCGTTGGAGTATAAATTTCAGCGGCGTAAAAGTTAGAATGCCATGTATAAGTCCTAGGCTGAATTGGGCCTTAATATCATACCAAGGGAAATTTAGGAAAATAAGATTTTGAAGATTTAATAAATTAATCTTTATTATCCTTTGGTAAAGGAAAGGAATATATGCCTTATGGAAATGGTTAGATTTTCCTTCATAAGTTGCTAAAATAAAATAGCAAATAATAGTTAATCTCACACTCTTAATGGGTGTTCAGTTTCAGAAGAAAGCAAGAGACTAGGCTGATAGGCGAAAAAGGGATTCCAGCTTTGAAAATCAAGTAAGTAGGAATCTCGCCTACAGTATAAATAGATTTTAAAGTAAACAGTACACATGAACTATATATGTTTGAGTACATTTAATGTTATGAATGCTATGCTATGTTATACTACATACACTTAGGCAGTACACCCGAATTATATGTGTTCGAGTACATGATATAGTATGCTATGCTAGGTCATATTGCATACACCTTAATAAGTCAAGAGGAACTTATAAGAGTAATCTCAGTTGAGTGCCGTACCAGCCTCCACAAGGGAGGTAACTCAAGCTCCACAAGGGAGAAAAAATAATAATAATGATGTCCTCCGACTCAAGGGAGGCATTCAAGTTATAATCACGGTGTCATGGGGGACCTTGCAAACCCTCACGTCCCGATGATTGCGTGCAAGTGGTACGAGCACTCGGGCCCATCAGTAAGAAAGATAAGATAAGATAATAAGATTCTGATAAGACATCATAATTAAGCATAATTGGCTCATGCATATTTATTCATGTGAACTTACAGTTATTTTGCGGGAGATAGTTCCTACTTGCTGAGCGAAAGCTCATTATAGAATGTTTATACTGTAGGTAAGCAACCGGCATATAATGCCTGATGGACTGCTGGCGAGTGGACGAACGATGTGGGGCTCGGGATATGGATACCACTCGCAAATATTTCCGCAATCAGCTTTATGTTACAAATAGTTTTGTTAATTATGATTATGAAACAGACATGTTAAGGTTTGAATATTTTAATTAAGAAAGCAATTTCGTATTTTATGTTTATAATAAGACCTTTTAAAAAAAAAATGTTCCGTAAATTTTAAAAAATTTCAGTAAGTACAAGTTAAAAAGTTAGTTACAGTGGCGGCCTCAAATGAGGGTCGCTACACTACGGACCAATTTTACGTGGGTCAAACTGGCCGTACTGTGGGATGTGCCATGGGCTTTGAAGGGGTTGGCTTAAGACCCATTTAGCCCATCTAAGAATGTAATTTTTATTTTTTATTTTTATTTTTAAATTTTTAAACAAGTTTACAAATATAATAGTTTGAATAGTTAATGAAAATATGAAAAGGGATATTTTATTTACGATTGTCTCATTAAATGAAAACCTTTCTAAGGAAAACCCAGTGGGACAAAACCTTGGTAAGAAAAAAAAGAGTATAATCAGGATAATTATGCATAAAATGTTTACAAAATTACTAAAAAAAAGAAAAAAAAAACATGAAGATAATATAGGCCTAGATGGGTTGGGTTCGGCTGGCCTATTATGGGCCTAAACGGGCCGTGCTGGGCCAAGCCCAGTCCGGCCTGGCCCATGATTTTTCATGAGCCGTACTGGGCTGGCCCATGGACTGATATATGTTAGCCCATCCCAACTCACCAATATTTATGGGTTGGGCCGTGCTTTGAACAGTGACGGGCCGTGCTGGCCCAACCAGTAACTGGTTCAGGATGGGCCTGGGCCGGCCCACGAACCCCGGCCCATTGTTGTATCTCTACAGTTTTGTGCCTTAGGTACGCACAAACATATTTCTTGACTGAAAGTTCTCCAATACCTTTTTTTTTTTCAAAGTAACTTTGTTATTTGTTCTTGTCTAAATATAATGTTAATGCTTCTAACATAACGTTAATTATGATAATTAATGGCAACAAAACGATTGATTATAAACTGAAAAAAAAGAACAAGAAATTCATAAATATCATTGAGAAAATTGTCATCCCCTACATTATATTTTGGGTAAGTTAGTTCTAAATTATAACGATATAATTAAATACTAGTAACATAACAATCAATACATATTTTTTATTACCTCAATAATACAAACTTTTTATCATCCTCAATAATATTAAAGATATTTAGGAAAGAAAATTACGTAATTGAACAATTAATTGTTGCGTTGCTATTAATTAGTTACATCGACTTTGTAATTTGGAACTGATTTATCAAAATACTATGGAATGGATAGCCAATTTCCTCAATGATATTTATGAATTTATTTTTTTCCACTTATAATCAATTGCTTTGTCATCATTAATTGTCATAATTAACTTTATACTAGGGAATTTTAACATTATTTTTTAACAAAAAAATAACATGTTATACTTAAACAAAGTAGAGCTTTTGGACTTTTCTGTGGTGTGTTTGTTTGTTTTATTTTTTATTATTTATTATTTTTATTTATTTATTTATTTTTTTGCGATTTAAGGCACAAAACACCCTCAAAATTTTGGCATCTCTTGTGACATTTAACATCAAAATAAAGATGGAACTAAAGGTACCGACAGATAAAGAGTTTGGAGACCTGAATGTTGAAATTCTTAAATTGACGACTAACCGTGTTAAAAGATTAAGAGTTTAAGGATCTGAGTATCCAAGTTCTTAAAATGGGAATGTAAGTGCCAAAGCTTAAAAAAAATTGGAGACCCATGACGCAAAAATCTCTTTGTAAAAATATCTTCTGTAACAATCCTAATTAGAACTATAAGTTTGGATTATGCTAAAATTTTGTGCTTAAAAGTTTATTTGTGTTGGACTAGCCTGACCTAAATGCCCTCTTTTTAACGATTTTTTGTAAATACCCTATAAATTCTGGATTGACCCTAAGTCTTTCGGGTTTTAGGGTCGGATTGAGCCGCCCCTCTCCTATTTAGGGCCGGGCCAGAATAGCCTAAAATTTTCATTCAGGCCGCTAAACCCGTGCCGATTTCGATGGCTTAAACTTTCACCTATACTCCTAATAGGGCATGGGAATATAATCATGCTTCTAAATACCCTGTGGCAGTTTACTTCCATACTGATATCAAGCGACAATTTTCTCTAATGCCTCCATTCTTGGAGAGTTGAAAGCTCTTCTCTCTACTAACTCCCTTTAAATGGACTCATTTCATTTTACTAAAAATTCTCATCGTGCAACCACTAATAACACTTGCCTTAAAGAGAAAATTACATAATCTGCCTTTTTTTTTATCTTTATATTTATTACATTCAGAATAGAAATAAGTCTAAAAATATATACTTTTACACAATATTATAAAGAGTACTTCTACTCACACACTCCCTTTTAAATATCCAACCTATATAATTTTGAAATGGTTAAATTTACTTTCTACACACTCCTATTATTTTAAAATTACCCCAACTATTTTTATAGAACTATTAATTCTTAATCATTTTATTTTTCTTTTCACACACCATTTTATTTTAATTATTATTTTAATATTAAAATTTTTAAGTAAAATAAAAATAAAAATAAATAAATAACAACAACAAAATCACTATATTATTGTGGTATGATAAAAAAGACAAAATGGAAAGAATGAAAAAAAAAATAAACGAGCATAAACATACTGCATACAAAAGAATTAAACGGAAACAAAATCAATTTAACTTTACAAGAAACGAAAAAAATAAAACAAAATGATTTAACTTTTCGAAAACGAAATGATTAGGAAAAGAAAAAAACATAAACACAAAGCAAAAGAAAAAGAAGGCAAATGAACAATCACCGTACAACAAAAATGAAATAAAATTTAACATGCCTCTGTGTAAATTTCTAGAATAGTTATTGATCGGTAAAAATTAAAGTTTTATTATAGATTTTAAAATCACACTTGTTTGTAATTTAGGAATATGGTACGTGGGGTGTGTGAAGAAAAAAAAATTAAAATGTCATTTGTTTATTTTTTATAATAAAATGTACTTATGTAATTAAGTCTATCATAATCATCTTTTTTATCATTTTATGTGAAAGTCTTTTTTAATAAGATATTATAATTGAAAAAGTGTGTGAAAAGTAAAAAATGATATGTGAATAAAACCTCCTTATTACAAATATATCTTCTTTTTAAATTTGAGTATTTATGATACTGGTTGTACCCCTTTATTTATTTTGGATAGATTCCTGATATAATTATTTCAATAAACATTTGTTTTTAGCAGCATAGTATTTCTTAGTTGCCTGCTTGTTTTCCTAACAAGTAATGTTACAACAAACCAGTATCATATTGGGTTTAAGGTGTATTGCGGAATATTTTACTTTAAGGTTTTATTTATTTTCACTTTTTAAAGTTTGTTAGTGATTTTTAATGTTTTATTTGCCCTCACAATAAACCCTTGAACATAATATCTAGCAATAACATTGAGTTCTAGAACATCAATGACATCTGTCAATTTTCTGGAGATAATAAAAAGACAGATGTGTCATTTCATGAATGAACACATCCTCTTCAAACATCCCAACGATTTACATAAAAGTATCTCTTGAATGTAGAAGTATCTCTTCATGTAATAATGCATATATTACAATAGATATGTATATTGCTAATAGGTATTCAGAAATGTATGAAAACTGAAAGGTCTGTTTTTTTACGCATGTGTTACAATGAGTGTTATAACACTTTCTGTAACACTGACGATTATCAAAGTAATCAAGGAGCAAATAATAGTCCAGAAACATAAAGAACACCAAGAATTGATATCTCAGTTCGGTGCACACACGTACATTTGCGGGGCCACACCCAGACAGTGAACAATCTACTAAGTCTCAAGATTACAAACATCAATCGGACTTATACACCCAAAGACTCCCTCCTTGATGTTGTCGCTGCCGTGTCGAATCTCCTTAATGACCTTGTCCAGCGAGCACCACTCGTCTTCAAATTGTATAGCGAAATCACTTCGGCTGGCAGTGCGCTTCCTCTCGAAAACTTATAATCCCTCACCCGAAGGACGGAATTATTGACACTCAAAGCTCTTAAACTCACTGACTTTCTTCTCTGAAGATATTCTATTCAATCCGTTTCAAAATGAGCTGCAAAAAGACGCCTTAAAATAATGCTTCACAACATCCTCTGAAAATCAATTTAAATTCAACTTGAATATCCTACACCTTTTCTCGTGATTCTCTCTTGACAAATTATTCACAATTATCTCATCTCTAAATATACTCGTAGCCCCTATCTTTATTCAGATTTCAAAATTAACTTTAAATCAATAGCTTGATCACCACATTTGAATTTTAAACCAATTCCAAGCTATATCCCATATTTGCTTC